TCTGTTTGGAGATCAACGAGGACACCACGCAGCTACCAGGCCACTTCGTACAGGTAATCAAAAACGCATTTGTGTATGCACACATACATATATATATATCACTGTCGAAAATAGTTGATTAAAATAAACGTTACCAAATACTAAACCCATTATTTCACTATTTTTTCTATTTTCTTCCATCTTATAAAACACTTGTGCGTCCAATTGCGAACCTTGCGACGCCCGGGGTTTTACACTTGGTTTGTTCTCGCCTCCGCTCCCAACACAAATTGGATAATCCTGTGGTCCGACAATGAAGGTTCCGACGAGTCCCTCCATTGGGTGACCAGAGGGCTAGCCAATCTGTTGCTGAGCGTAACGTCCAGTACTTCTTCCCTAGCCCTCGTAACAAATGTCGGTGTTTGGCCAACATTGTGGATGCTAAGTTCCTCGCTTAAAATGTACTCTAAGAGACACTCAACTCTGCGATTTGTGTCCGTGCTGCCCCATTCAACATTATGGGCGTTCGCATCGCACCCCACTATAAGATGGAGCCGTCTCCTCCTGCAGTACTCCACTAACCTCTGTACCTCTTGTGGTGGGGCATAGCTGCTGTCCCCCGGAAAGTAGGCCGCAGCGAACACCACCTCTACGTTGCTATCGCAAATGGTCAGCGACGTCTGCACTGCGACTAGGTCCTGTGTTAAAAATTCTGTAATGCAAAAGTAATCAATATTTTCTTTAAGCACTACACATGCTCTGGGCCTCTCGCAGGAGAGGTCCCAAATTACTTTGTTCCTTTTATGGTTGAGGTCCCTCACCTGGCCTCTGTAGGTCCACGGCTCTTGGATCAGTAGGATGCCCAGGCCATCCGTGGCAAACCTGCTGGTGATGACCGCCGAAGCAGCCACCGCGTGATGCAGGATGACCTGGGCTACTGCCAAGAGTCGGGGATTCATAGGTGGAGCTCGTCAAGGTCGGAGAGCTGTAGTTCGCTCTCGTTCCGCTTATCAAGCTCTAGTCGCCTCAAGTCCAAACCTGATAGCAGCTCCTGCGTTGAGGGCACGTGTTCCGCTGAGGTGGTGGTAGCGGTATGCCCGAGCGTGCTTGCAGGAGCTGGTGTTTCTGCAGGTAGTGGCTGCTCCGCCGGTAAGCCCGAGGTCGACTCGGCCGTCTGGGCAGCAGAGGAACCGGCGACCACGTCGATTTTAGTCTCCTGCGCCTCCGACTCCTTGCTGCCTGTCGCCTTTTGTCTCCACGGTCTCACCGTGACGAAGCTGAACCTGTAGTTTAGGTTGAAGCCAGCCCTCTTAATACTGACGTAGGACTCCTTATCAATACCTAGAAACAGCCTGAGCCCGTGTTCCTCAGTGGTGCTGGACACTACTTTCCACGCAGAAGTGTGGATACCCTCGTTCTGCGCTTTCAGTAGCCCCAGCGCAAACTCGGCAGATTTGTCGGCGCTCCTTGGGAGGAACACCGTGATGTTGTGCACCGTAGGGATATCGTCCCCTCTCTTCGTGCACATCCCGGGTCCCTTCCAGCCCTCAAGTGCTGGTGCCTTCTCAGCCAGCCAGGTTGCTGTTTTCTCGTCCCTGCAATCAACGAGAAGCATACCGGACCTGAAATACACCCCGCAGAAAACCAGCGGGTGCGACCAACCTTTGAATACCTCCTCCATGATGGCATCTTGGAGTCTGGTTAGGTCCTCCGGGCTCAAGGCAGCAGCAGGGTACTCACACGGTAGCACCGCTACCCGGATGCCTTTGAGGGTCTCCGAGTAACTGGGCTGCTGAGTGGCGCTCTCCTGCACCTGTCCCTGCCCGGCCGGCCCAGCCAGGCTCTTAGGCCCTGAAGTCGGAGTAGGTGGCTGATCCCGCTGCCGTTTGGTGCTAGGTGTCTCAGGCGAAGTGATGTGGTTGCTCCCTCTCTTGACTGCGTCCCCTTTATGGCCAGGGGGTTCCCCGCTTCTCCGCCATCCGGCGGGCGCGGGTCTGTGCTGCTGTTGTTGCTGTGGCCCGCTTCTCTGCTTTGCAGCAGGCGCGGGTAAGTGTACCTGTTTATTGGGCCTGCTCTTCCACCTATCGGCAGGTGCCAACCTCCATTCTGACGCTGGCCATGGCTCTGGCCTCAACTGGGGGCTTGCCCTGTTCCAGGTACCGGAGGTACCACTTGACCCCGGAGCCGCTCAAACCTTCGCGGTGTCGGTCGTCCAGAGCCCCTGGCTGACCTGGCAGAGGCATCGGAGGAGGCTTGGCCCTGCGGTTTTTCTTCCTCCTCTGCTTCTGCCAACCAGACTCGTCAGATGTAGCGGAGGCGTTGCTTCTGGGGGACCTGTGTCTACGTTCCCCTTTCCGGTTATCGCTGTCAGAGCGGCGCCGACTCTTTGAGCGCTCCCGGCTTTTTGAGCGGTGACGACTCTTTGAGCGCTCCCGGCTCTTTGAGCGGTGTCGACTCTTAGAGCGGCACCGACTGCTTGAGCGATGCCGACTGTTGGAGCGGTGACTGCCCTCGGTACGGTGGCTGCTTTCTGATCTCGCTGTTACTGTGTGCCTGTAAAGAGAACTGCCGGACCGGTGTTGCGGCCGATCTAATTCGGCAGATGAATCATACAAATCTAACACATCTTGATTTGCGAAAGTACCTTTTTTGCCCCGTGCCTTGCTACAGGACGCCTCTGCACTGGTGCCTGGACGTTCGTCATCCCTCGCATGCTCGATGAACAGCGATGCTTCTTCTACTGTCCGCTTGTCCAAGAAGCTGCTCTTGCGCTTGGCGCTCTTAGAGCCTTCTAGCGTGCTGCTGCTTGGCGTTGCTGGTGTACCTGTGGCTTTTGCTATTACGGCTAATGCCGTTATGCCCACCGCCGCTGGTGGCGCGGGTGCTGTGGTAGATGTTGTTGTTGTTGCTGTTGTTGTAGCTGTAGTTGCTGTTGTTGTTTTGTTTTTTTGGTTTTTTGTTTTTTGTTTGTATTTGTGCTCATCTTTTTCGTACGACCGCCTGCTCGACGAGGCGAGCTCAGCAGTCTAATGTTTTGAAGGGGATCTTCAAAGTCCGCCGCGCCAGCGCCCCTTGTCGCGGTAAGGCCACCGTTACTCCGCGATGCGGCCCGGTGTCGGAAAGCGCCGTTCTAATACAGCCGGATTATTCCCTCCTGGCTGCAAACCGTCCAATAGGCACGGTGTCGCTTAACACCCTGGATTAGGAGGTGGCAGTTCTTGGTCACTGTTCTCCAGCGGCCTAAATCTGGAGGGAAGGTAGCGCGGAGGCTGCCGCATCCACGTTACCTCAGACCAGAAGAAGACCGGTTGGAGATTCAGCTAAGCCCCCGCACCAACGGCAAGGTGCCCGCCCTAGCGAGGGTTGCTTGGGGCATACCCCATTCCACGCCTCTTGCGTTGAAATCTCCAGCAACAATTATGTGGCCGGTTATAACGCGAAATTCGTCTTCAAGGTCTTCGGGCTTTTCCCTGAAGACAAG